TCAGTTGAATATGCGAAGTTTGGTTTTGGTGGTAAGTTGGCTAGAATTCCATATGGGACCGAATTGAGAGAATGGAGATCTTGCTTCACAAATGCGTAATTTGACATCCCCAACCGCACCGTTTTTGTTAGTTACTACACTGCTCAGATTCACAAGGGATCGAATGCTTTCCGTCCATTTATTTATGTAATGTTATGTCAAGATCCATAGTAGCGACGTATCTACTGCACATAATTTTCATTTTTATTGTATAATTTCTAGTCCAATTTTGCGCGAGCAGTTGTTAATTCTTTTGAGATTGTCCTAAAAATTGGAACACCTACAATATTATAAGCAAAGATCGTATGCATATTTAAGATCTTCGAACTGATTAAACGGGCTTTATTGTACGTCCTTGCGTTCCGTGAGTGAAGATCTTAAAACCGCGTCTAAAGCCAGCATGACTAGTACAGACCATATTTGGTAATTTAACACAAGCTATTTATTAAATAATATTTTTGAAATCCTCATGCAAAAACTTATGTTCGAACAAAGATTATTTATAGTCATATTTAAATTATATTTTCACATATATTATCTATGTAATATGTATAAGTATGTGTAATATGTAATATGTATTTGAAGATTGCCACGTTATGGGACTATAAGGTTAATTTTTCTCAGTATTATCTCAATATATAATATCCTACAGTGTTTAAGGACTTTGATATGATTGAATCACACTTCTTTAAAAATACAAAATTTTGGCATGCACTACCCATGACATACTAAACGGAGTCATGATCAACGATTTATTTATCTAAGTATGAATATATAAGATTTAAATGGGTTTAGTTTTCAAAAAATAAAATGTCGTGAAGTCAATGAATTATTAAAGCAAGTGTTTTATGACTATATCGTCTCTATAAATAGAACTGTGGTGTGGCTTACTTAATCGATTGATTTGCCGCAAGTATAGAATTATTGTTTAAGTACTTAAAATCATTGGTCATTAAAGCATATATGGCTTTTAATATTCGAAAAAATTAAAAAATTTGGTGGTCCTAAATGCGGATTATCAATGTTAATATCATAAAACTATTTACTATGAGATATATTATTCTGTATTAACATATCTCTGTTCATAATTATTTAATGTAAATCATAATTTATTTTTCTACACACACATTTTTTTTTATTTTTGAATAAAGATTTATTAAGCTGATTTTAAATTTTAGATCTTTAAATTTCAAAGTTGGAATACAGTCAATTTTTTTTAAAATTTAACCTAAAAGTATGCAATCTATTTCTTACCATGGTTTCGTACATAAATTCATGGAACATAAATTGCAGTCTTTAATGTAAACAAAATAAAATTTAATGGACATCTTCACAATCTAATCAGTAATAACCTATAAAAAAGAACACTCCATAAAGAAAATAATATGACAAAAAAAATTTGATGTATTGTATGTTTGACAATTTAATTTAATGAAAATAATAAATCTTTATTAACTTATAGGGAATTTGTTTCAAAAATCAGTGCCTTTAACAATTTTTTTATAAGGTGTACTGCAAGTACAACGATTTGTATAAAAGTAACGTTTATAGAGCAAGAGCAAATTTATAATAAGTGAATCACATAAATAATATGAAATAAAATAAAACTGAAATAATATTAAAGATAAAAAATATTAAGCATAATTGAATCCCATACCGATGGCATGTTTAAACTGACACCGATGTACGAGTCTATGTATCCCAAGTGCGTGCCAAGTAAAAGGCGAAGAAAATATTCAGATTTCATATTTTTATAAAAAAAAATGCTTTCAGCCTAGTATTTTTTGTTACCCACTGACGCTGTTGCGAATTATGTTACTTGTGTTTTAGTTCTTTGCCGTTACAATTCATCTCCGTCCCCAAGAAGACTTAAAGCAACAAATGATAAAATCAACCTTACCGCAGTGATATGGCCAAACAGGCAACAGCCTTCTTATGGTGTGGTGCTGCTGGTTGCAGGATACCATTATCACAAACGCATTTAGCATTTCGTTCAGGTTTACCGTTTCAAAATATAAAATAGATTCATATTACGGCGCATGATTCTCGATAAATTCAAAGAGTAAATTGAAAAGCACTCTAGAGATTTAAATAATACGTTTTCGGGCATTTAAGAGAAACATATGTTTGCACTCTTAAAATAGAAACGAGCTTGGGGACAGTGGGAAGATATAGTAGTTTAAGCAAATAAAAATTTATTCAATAGTTAAATATAACTACCTTTAAAAAAACTATCTTCAGTTGCAAGCAGAAAATATTTCTAAATTTAGAAAAATGTGTGAAGATGATATGCAAAACAACGAACGATGTATATAAAAATCATAATACACTTTCTGTGTGAATGCCCAGCTTTGGCGTCCAGATGATATAGATTCTAGGGGAGAAACTTCATTGATAGTATATCAGACTGTTCATCGGTGAAGACAAAAGACCTATTAAGTCATCTAAATTCGGCGGGATAGATTTAGTCTCTACTCCTCTTCTTGCGAGGAATGTGGTAGCAAAACGACGAAAAATTGCTAATTGAGGTACATGGAAGTTATCTAATGGCTTACCATTGCAACCAACCAATTAACCATATCAAAATCATTTATAAAACAAATTCAAATTCCAAAAATAAATATTTACGAAAATATCTATACAGGATGAAAAAAGCAGTGCAACACTACTGTGTATATTTCGGAATTGACCAAGACGATGCTGGGAACACTTTTTAATGTCACTAGAAGAGAATATAGGTCAGTTCATTGTTGAGAATATCATATGAAAAATGCAGGTACAAGCGGATAATTGGAACAATCTCGCACAATTCATAAAAAATATGCTCCGGAAAATGTAGAATAACGTGGACGCAAACTAAAATTGAGCCAAAAGCAATGTATAGATCTTCCAAAACAAAACTGGAACCAATTAAATGTGTGTTAGGCACTAAAATGGATAAATATTAACATATAGTTCATTAAGCTTTCGGCATGAAACTCACCAGAAGGTTAGTTGCAACAGGTGGACTAATTTTTAGAACATGTTTCAACAGATAAAGAGAGGAGAAACGCTATACGCACTTTATGGATTCGAATTACCATGCATACATTGAAGTACACGAAAAAATGAATGAGATTGCTTGACCAGTAGGTACTTCAACAAGGAAACGATATGCGGTAATTTTTAAAAACAAAATTTTTTTAAAAGAAACTTCTAATGGTGAGGTGAACTAGTATAACCAACATCAAAACTACAGGTCATGTGCAACTCAAAGAAAGTATAATCGTTTGTACTATTTCTTTTGTGCAACTTAATTAAATATACTAGTGAGCCACAGTCTACAAGTGGTACATGCATCATTTTAAAAATAATTAAGAATGGTTTAAGAAATTAATCTGGAAGCACATCTTGGATTCGCAAAAAGCATTCCATAGTACCTGATACTTACTACAATTTTACATAAATATCTACTTATTTATGAGGAAGATTTACAGATCTATATGTGGTCTAAAGTTAGCCAAATCAACCTTATTTAATCTTTATTATCTTTTACAATAAACTTATATTGGTGTTAATTGTAGAAACGAAACATTTTAAAATTAAAAGTATTATTCAAATATCTGGCTCTATGTTCTGGAAGCATTCGTCGAAAAAGGGACTAGATAGTGTGCAATCCATGTGTCATAGAACTATATCATGCAGAAAGTGTTATATGGTATATTAATTGCCTTACTAAGTATCACATTAATTACTGCATAACTTATCACACTTATATATCAATATATATATATATAATAAAGTGATAGTTAACAGCACCAAAAAAATAAAAAAAAAATTTTAATTAAAATTAAAAATAAAAATTAATTAAAAAGAATTAAAAAACAAAATGTACTAAAAGTTATATACAGAACCTTAATAATTTTATGCTCTTAAGCTAGAGCTTATACTTATTTGCTCTGTGTGTCCACATTTAAGTTTCTTTTCATCAAGTGTCGCAGATATGAGATTCGAGTATATTGAGAGTCTTATCAAAAAAACAAAATGCTTCCAAAATTGAGGCGTCACAATACGCTTACTTCAATGGATTAACGCGTCTTCCTGTAAGATGTGCTACCTCTAGTATTATCATCTACCGTATCTATGTAAATGAGTCTATAGGCAGATATTACCATTAGCAATCTTTTGTTTTTATATCCTCAAGTATCTGTCTGATATCGTAGATATGGAAATTGAAGATATTGAAGGTGTTATCAAAACCCTAAAATAGTTATACAATCCGAAATAACATAGGTTTCCTTTAAAATTGTGGCATCACAATACGCTCACAAAAAGGAGTTAAGTAAACAGTGTCTTCCTTTGAGATGTGCCAAAATTCTATCATCTATCTGTTTGCGTCCTTTTTATATTTTTCATGTCATGCTTAATTTTTTTATATATAGGATTTACATATAACTTAATATTTAGTTAACCTTTACAGTGATTTTCAGTTTACTGTTCCAATAAAAATTTCTACTAAATAAATTCCATATGCGGTGGTTAAATTTAACCTCTTGAAACTAATAAAATCAATTTCACATATGTATATATTATAATACACGGTTTCAAAAACATTATTATAATCTTAATAGGGATATCCGTTACACAATTAAATAGCAAAAGTGTGTGACGTCACTAAATCAGCGGCAACATACAGTCTAACATTACATTTTAACCGCCAAATTGTGTGAGCGCCTGGCCATCGTCCTCGTCATCACCATCGCCATCGCCATCGCCATTGCTATCGCCAACAGCAATAACAATGGCAATAGCAACAGTAACAGCAACAGCTTGACTACTCCTGTTACGAATAATTCATGGCACCGATGTGCCTTGAGCTCCAATTGCTCCTGCGAGAGCATACACACCCTATTCTTTAGATATGGAGAGGACAGCATATAAAAATGTGCCGCACATGCAATTCTATTCAGTTGAACTAAGGACTCCGTTGTGGACACGTCAAAAGCTGCAGGAAGAAGTGCGCGCTTTACAATTGCATTTTGACAGTTAAGATTTTAAATAATTTTGAAATATTTTTTGTTTTTGACTCCAAGTGTATGTGCAACTAATTTTGTGCGTCAGTGCATTTTGAAAATTTTATTTTAATTTTTTTATTTCCTTTTTGGTGGCACACATAAAAAACACATAAAATTCTATATAATTGTTTTATTAACAAAAAAGAAAAAAAAGAAAGTAGAAAGTATCTCATACAAGTGTATTATTTCGTCTTGATCGCAAGTAGATTTTCCGCCGCAATGCAAGCAGGACAACCAATGACCAATGCATCTGGCAAAGCAGCTTCCGCTGTGTTCAAGTTGTGGGTGATACTGTATATGCTGCTAAGTGCTGTAAGTGATTTAAGAAAAATCTGTCCAGTAATTGAATTCTGTGTGGTGTTTTTGGTCTTTATTTTTGAACCTTATTACCCACCATTAAAATCTGCGGTCATTTAAAATTTTATTTATTTAAGGGTTTTTTTTTATCGATCAACATTTTTATTACATTTTACTAATTAAATGAAAAGGATTTACAATATTTTTTTGTTTGTATTTAAATTTAATTTTTTAACATTATTTTAATTCTTATTGAATGGATTTATTTTTAAATGTATTTGCTGAATTTAATTCGTGAATGCATTAAAATGACTGCACTTTTAAGTTAATTACAAATTGCATATCAGCGATAATAGCACTGATTTTATTACAACAGTATTTTTAAATTAAACTACAGAGTTATTTATTATGTTAAAATAATTATTTCAATATAAATAGCGATAAAAAAAAACAGTAAATATTTTTAGCAGAACTGAATTGCACTTATTTTAAGCTAACTTGTAATAATAGTCATACTAAAGCTTATATTAATAATAATGTACCTGTTAATAGGAATATTAATACAAATAAAAAATATTTAAAACCTTAAAATAAAAATTATAACTTGAATAGTACGGTTTTCTGAAATTATGACTCCATTTTGGATTCTGATGTAACTATTAAATCGCTGTTTAAAATTGTGACACCATTTTGAATTCTGACATAATTATTAATTCAACTGTCTTAGGTATACTAGATATTTTGGTAAGACATAGTTTTTTATTCTCCATTTCAAAAAAGCATAGATCGCAAAGTTTCCATTTTTTCAAAATTTGGGTTAAAATTTTGGTAAAAACCAATATCTTAATGTATAAGTTATTTGTACTAATTAAATTAATTAAATACACTTTTTTATATATAATAATGCTATAACCGCGACTTTAAAATCTATTGTATCTCTATTTTATAAACTTATTTTCTAAATTAAATAAGATTTTGTAGATTTTTTCCTACCATTAAGATAAGAAATTTAAGTTTAAGGTAAAAAAGTGATAAACCATTCAAAATTTATAAAAAAATATATAGAAAAATAAAGAAATCAATGTGCTGGTGGCAAAAGAAGAAACATATCCATATTAATACAGTAACAAATATACTTCTCTATGCGCTGAACTATTAATACCACTAAAAAACAAAGTTGATCGGTTTCATTGTTTTTGATCTAACCACTCTCCACAAATTAGGGGTATTCAGGCAACTGATTAGTTGCTTAGTAGTTGATTACAACAAAAATTTGCACACAAAAATGAAACTAAGCAGGGAATCAACTATTTCGGTGATTCTCAGATTAGTACAAATTTGATTAATAATGCTGCCAGTCCCAAGTGTCTTAATAATAACTTAAAATGAACTTTTGTATATAAATTTGTTAGCTATCTCTCTCAGCTGTTTGAATTTTTTTTATATAAAGTTTTTGAATCAACTAAGCAACGAATCTCAGTTGCCTGAATACCCCTATTATATTTGTGAATACTATATATGCTCGATCAAGTTTTTTACATACTGCCCTAATGAGATCTGTTGAGTACATTTTTACTTACTTGACGTTTGATTTGTACAAAAGTTTAACTTTAGATTTTTTTAAATTATCATTCTATTTTTTTTTTTTTGTTAATTATGTAAAAAAATTTTTTTCCTTCAGAATCACTTATAGGGTTCAAATATGGACTATATATCACCTTTTCTACTCATTTAATAATAGTTCATAAATGTTTTCCTAAAATCAGTTGAATATATTCTGCGTATAATTACAGTAAAAATTTTAGAATTGATATCTACAAAATTTAATTTTTATATAGATATAAATGATATAAACTCTAATTTTCTGATTAAAGTAAATATATTGTTAAAGGTAACTTTTCGAAAAAAAAATTTTTGAAAATGTTTTCCTTTTATTAAATTTTTATTATTAAGCTTCCACAAAACAGACCCCGAAAACCGCATCTCCGTATCTAGAAAAAATTTGTATAATACATTCAATATTAATAACAATCTCAAATAATTTTAACTATACTATAGCCAAAGAATCTATAGATATACTATAGATTCTTTGCTATAGCTATACTCTTTGCCCGTAAAATTATTCTACACGTAAACTATTAATAGAACTATTGACAGTTTATACTATTGGCTAAGACGACTCGTATAATTACTATTTCCCACTACTTTTAGTACATAGTACTTGCATTTGCATTGTTGCTTCTTGTTCTCCGGTGTGCTCATAATTAAACTCGACTTAAGTATATAAGTTAACACCAGCGACTTCTTGAATTCAGCGCCAGCGCTTGGATTCATTAACGGCAGAATCAGGCAATAGAATTATATGGCATGATTACCATTAACTTATATATTATGTTGTAAAATGATAAGAAAAAAATTTAAATGTATGTATTACACTTTGAAAAATAATTAAAAGAAAGAAATGCAATTAACAATACCGATAGTAGATTATTAGTTGAAAGAGAAAGAACTAAAAATAGCATTAAATTTTTTGTAGAAAATCCTGTACATAAATATTTTCAAAATGAAAATTAAAAGTTTTCCAAAATAACATAAAATATATTTATACAACTTCAAATGCACAAATACATATATTTCAAAGCATTTAATACAAATTAATAGATTTGTTATATTTTTTATATATGTCAACCATTATATCTTCATAAGTTATGAATGCACATAAAAAGGTTTAACAGATCAAAATTTGTTTAAAGGACAAATAATCATCAATATTTCACAGAACTTCATATGTTGGCACAAGTGTCACTTAATAACTTTAGTTTATGTTTATTTAGTAAAATCCATTTAACCCTTACGATCCATATCTACAATAAAGCAGTACACAGTTTAAACCTCAAAAATTATACAACAAAAAAAGCAATGATCATTAATTTTTAGTATATTATATGAATTTTAATTCTCATTTACTTTAAACTTAATCTATTGTATAAGTAGTTGAAACAATGTCTCGCTGTAGTGATTTTAATATAAACTGTGAAACAATTGTTGTCTTGCAACAGAGTATGAATTATTCCATCTTTTAAAAATAAAAGTAGAACATATAAGTTAAAAAGAATGACAGCGTTCAGAATAAAATGATACATTAATTATCATTCAGAGAATGACATAATAAGAATAATAAGCAGATTATATATCTGTTAAATTAATTATACATCCCATATATTAGAAGCTAGATGTGTAATGACCGTTTACATATTGTTAATAGCATTATGACGATACAAATTAATGATTGTATAAAAACAATATCATAACAAAATTATTTGCGATGATATGTCTTTCAATTTATTCAGAATATGTTTTTTAAATAGAATCCATTTAATTTCAACATTTATGATTCGTATCAACAACAATGCAGCACGCAATTTAAAATTACAAAATTGTTAAACAACAAAAGCAAAATTAGGTATACAGAATATTACACCAATTTTAATTCTCATTTTCTTTAAAATTTATATTTTGTATAAACGTAATTGCCATTAGGTGTGGTTGATTATAAGGATGCTTATTTTAATATAAATTGTAAATCTATTCTCTTGCTTTGTAAGGCCAATTCTCTTGCTGGAGCTTATTTATTATTATAATTCACCCATTTGGCTTTTTAATATTGAATAAATCACATTCTATATCATTTACTCAGAACATGTCATAAGTCATACTGTGAAGTATGATTCGATATTTGTATTAGTTTTACTAAGAGCAATTAGTTTCGCTATGCTATTTTATGCTTGTGGAAAGAAAAGAATAAAAGAGATTAATGCAAAACTGCAAATATTTGTGAACAAATGCCTGTATATAATAAGAATATAGTGGCCCAACCACACCACAAACACTAACCGATACCGATGGGCCGATACGAATCAATCATCTGCTACTGTTGCGATATGTAGTCGCAAATGGCGTTGGATAGGACAAAATCTTCGCAGACCCAATGAAAATATTGCACACCAAGCTCGAAGTTGGGATCCTCAAGGCAGCCGTCAAACCGGGAGCACCAGCTAAAACTTGAAGGAGGAAAATTGAAAAAGGGCAAAGAGAAACCAATTATTCCGGGAATGATACTTGTGAAGAATCAAGTAATAGAATCCGATATAAAAAGATAGTTGAGGTCATATGCTCCACTATGAGGATAAGAGAGAAAGTGAGAGAGAGAGGGAAAGAGGGAGAATCAGCGTCAATATAATATTAAAAAGAAAGTTATGCATTAGTTAATTTTTTCATTAAAATTTAATTATTTAATTTAGAGTAGTTATTATTAGGAGTAGTAATATTTAAGTTAATTAAAAGCTAATTATAAAAAAAGTTTTCATTACATAAACCAAAACTTTTCAAGTATAACCATCTTTTATAATGCCTGAGCGTGCATATACATATATTCATTATAGAACTTATCTTTCTTTAAATTTCTTTAAATTCTGAATAATTCATTTGATTAAAAATATGTGAAAAAATCTTGTCAATTATTTCAATTCTTAATTATTCATTAAATATAAAAAATGTTTAAAAATCTTTCCACTAATTAATTTCAATTGAAATGACAGAAAACTTTCAAAATTGATTTTAAAAATTAAAATTTTTTGAATAAGTATAATAGGTTTTTTAAGTTTTATTGTTAAGTGAATTAAGTAATTCGATTTAATGTCATATTCAATTTAAACTTTATCGTGAATGCTTTCCCTACGGCATTCAACGTAATTAAAATGACATATTGCTGAAAATGTTCACGTCCAACAGTGCGTATGATTGACAAAAAGCGACAACATTTAAGTCAAGTTAACCTGTGTATGAAGCGTTCGAAAAATTTGTCTTCATTTCTCATTTTATATTTAATTTCCTCAACTCTGCACAGAACAGAAACTCATATTTATAAATATTTTTTTATTCTTGGAATGAAATAATATAAATTTTTTATGTTTATTTTTAGTTTAAGTTTACATATTTTCTGTTGTTGATTTTTT